TAAGCATCCTAACCTCTGATATGGAGATAGAAGGTAACCGGCTTGAAGACTATATTGTAAAACGTCTAAAGAACGACATCTTGAAAAAGGACTATGGTCTGCCTAGTTCTAACTCCGATACGCTTTTCCGTAGCGATATTGTTTATGATGCAAATAAGAACATGGCTGATTATTGCGCTGATGACTTGGTGGGTTGCCCGGAACGAGACGCAGATTTGTTTCCCGTTGTCTATTACGGACTTGTAGCCTCTGTGGATCAGGTTATGAAAGATGTTTAGAAGCGGGATGTACTAGTAAAGGAAAAGAACCTACTATGCTTCGAGATGGAAGCTGCTGGTTTGATGAGTTATTTCCCCTGTTTAGTTATAAGAGGAATCTGTGATTACTCCGACTCTTGTAAAATCAAGTAATGGCAGGGCTATGCTGCCATGGCAGCCGCTTCTTTCGCTAATTCATTGGTCTGTTGGATTCCGCGTCAGAGCATTGAGCATGAGTAGTCTGCAGCAAAAGTATTGTCTTCTAGTGAGTAGTTCTCAGATAATCTCATCGCAAGTCATTACTTGTAATTTCCCAATTTCTGACCAACGCACACCAGTCAATTCACTTAAGGAAGATGTCAACGCCATCAAAAATACAATCGATCATGACACTCTGGACAAACTGCCAATGGCTCAGGGCGCTGAATTAGACAACTATCAAAACCAACATGAACTGAGATGCCATCCAAGCACCAGAGTTGATATTCTTCGCGACATTAGAGGCTGGGCTCTTCATGCTACTGGCCAGAGACTTCATCGGCTCAGTGGATTGGCTGGAACGGGAAAGTCGATCATAGCCCGGATAATTGCCCATGACCTTTGCGAGGCCAACATGCTTAGCGCCACGTTCTTTTTCAAAAGGGGAGAAGTTGATCGTAGCAGCGCGATGTTGCTTTTCGGTACGCTAGCCCGTCAGCTAGCGCAGCGCCAACCCGAATCAAGCCAATACATTACCTCTCCGATGCGTTTGCTTAGAGTCCCCCCTCCCCAGCGATCAAGGAGACGGATAGCATCTCTTCCAAGAGTATGGAGGAGCAATTCACTAAGCTTGTCTTCAACCTACTCAGACAGGCAGCGCCAAATTCAGGGGAGGCCAGAACTTTGATCTTGGTACTCGACGGATTGGATAAGTGTTCGAATGAGAAGGACGTTGAAGTTTTACTGCGTTTACTGATTAAGGCTGCATGTTTCGATGGCTGCGGCCTGAAGCTGCTTACTACAAGCAGGCCAGAGGTGGCAGTGCGCGATGCATGTGGTTCTCCCAACAATGATTTGTACCGGGAACTTCGACTACACGACACATCAAATGAGATTGTCTCCAAAGATATCTCCTTGTACCTTCAACATCAGTTGACAGAGGTCAGACACTGGTGGAACACGAGATGCATCAATAGTCAGAAACTACAACTAGATTAGCCTGGACAGAAGAAGATCAACGCCCTTGTCGACATCACAATACCATTGTTTCTGTTCGCAGCAATAGCATGCCGCCTCATCCGAGACGAACTGTTCGGCATTCCAGAGGAACAGCTCTTGAAGCTTGTCCAGACCGTGCGGAAAGGAGGCGTCAGCGACAAACTTCAAGAGACGTATCAGCCAGTACTGAAACAGTTCCGAGGCGAAAGAATTCCATCAGAACGAACTATCCTGCTTGAACGATTCAGACAGGTCATCGGCGCAATCATACTCCTAGAGCAGCCTCTGTCGATATCCACAATTGCTAGCTTGCTATGTCTTAAGCCCTCACAAATCAATGGTATCTTGTTGCCTCTTAGGTCAGTTCTTGATCTTCCAAGGGAGGAAGACGTAGAGGTGAAGCTTTTTCACTCGTCATTCCGTGACTTTTTGCTAAGTCTAGTTGCTGGGGACTTCTCCATTGACTTCAAGGAAACACATTGGAAAATGGCGCTTGCTTGCCTTGGTATCCTCTCGAGGTCTCTGCATTACTACCTCTGCAGTCTCAAACCGGCAATGAGATGCTTACCGTTCCTGGTTCCATCACCTAGGGCAAGCAGGCCAACCTCTGGAGGATGACGATCAAGTTCACAAATTCCTTCAAGATCGATTCCTTCATTGGATCGAGGCTCTCCGTGTTCTCAGAGAAGCCAATCGGGCTATCCAAATGATAGACACGCTGGTTCCCTTCGTTAAGGTGAGCTTCAAAATTTTCTGCGTCATGAGACCAATACAAGGCGAATGTATATGCGCAGCAACAAGTCACAAAGAATCAATAACTTTATCTTGTCCGCTTTGCTAACACATGTGGCAGCAACAAAAAGGCAGGCTTTACAATCTTTTGGAAGACTCAGAGATGTTGATTTCCAAATACATTTCCGTCATTCTCGAGTATCCTATGCAACTGTATTGGTCAGCGTTGGTCTTATCTCCCACGACGAGCTCTATCCGGCAAGCTTCCATGAGAAGTATCCCAAAGTGTTTCACTTTCCAACGACCGCAAAAGTCCGAATGGGCGCCTCTGGTCTGAGGTATAGGTCTTGAGGAAACGCATGAAGAATATTATTCCGTGACGGTTTCTCCTGATTCCAGACTTGTTGCGCTGAGTGAGCGCAACGGGAACATTATGGTTTGGTCGCTCGCCCTGGATGTCTTCATGACCAACATCCGCATGCCCTCCTCTCACTCTGTTGATCCATACGTCCCAGTCACCTTTTTCAAGGACTTGAAACGGATCGCATCAGCGTTACAAGGCTTTATTTACGTCTACGTCGCTGAGACGGGCGAGGAACTATGTTCATCCCCCCCCCCATCGGTGCGACGTAGTGTAAATTGACGTTTCCCACAATTCAGAGAAGATTGCGGCTTCATACAACAATCTTACCACTGCAATATGGACAGTAACTACGGGGCATAGTCTCCAGCTCCTATCTATGGACAGAGCTCTGAGTGGTGATAGTTCACACTTTGTATCACGAAGGGGGCTCATTTGTCAGTTTCTCTCCGAATCCTGAGATTGTAGCGACCTTATCTGTACGTGGAGGTGTCCATCTTTGGGAAGTGTCGACGGGTGTCTGCCTCCGCGCGTTTGACACAAATGGGCCAGTGGTTAGCCAGCTCGCCTTCGTATCAGACACAAACCTCTTGATCGTGAAGGAAGCTGATGGAGAAATTCGAACCTTGGACATCGACACCGGTCGTTGGACATCTCGAGCCTCAGGCGGAGAAGTCACACGTGGACCTGTGGCTTTTTCACACGACTCGAAGCTCATTGCGCACCAAATTCTCCCCGGTAGTGACGCTATCTCGAATTCGTCGTTCGATACTGGCGAACACTACCAATTCCTAGATCTGACTAGCATTCTCCTCTTCAAGCCATTCAGCGTTCTTTCCCTTCGTCCTGAGTATTGGGTAGCGGCATTCTCACCCGCTGGCAAATTCCTCATTGTTGCCCAGAGCAACAGAGTTGCTATCTGGTCTTTATTCATGATCCGAAAGCCCAGAACTCTGGGCAGTGGACTGAATCAACCAATGCAGCCAATGTCTGCGCAGATCAAAATCTGTTTTATAAATCGGATAGTTTCCGAAGAAAAGGCAAAAATTATTTCCATGGACGAAAGCGACGACTTCAACGAGGTTAGCATTTAGTCGTCTGATACCGGTGAGCTAGACCAGAAACTCAAAAACGATGGAGATATCAGATTCGAGGACTCAGGAGATGCCACCTTGTCGCCTGATTCGAAGCGCATATTTCTTCCACGCCAGCCGGCAATCTTTAATATCCAAGACAGTACAGTCATCCATGCTATGAAGCCTCCATATCCTCGCAACCCTAGTTATCTCGATCTTTTCAAGTCGAGAAAGAGCGAGGTTTTGTTTCCGGCAGATTCGGATTCCTTTGCAATTGGCTCTTTAGTTTCTTTCCAGTAGATGAAAGGCTGAAGTAACGAGTCTCTATATGTGCCGGGACGCTCATTGCAGTTACGCCTGATTGGTGATCGGCAGCCTTTACAGTCGAGATTCCACATATGTATGGATGTACCAAACGAGGATGGCGAGTCCAGGTCAGATGAAGCGTCCCATAGTATCAGGTACTTGAGCATTGATACAGGCAAACACATCGATATGCCCGAGGAAGCGGACAACTTCGACTTTCTCGCAATATCACCAGACTAGAAATGGGTAGCCTTGGTGCAAGGCCGTGGTCAAGAGATCACTCTGTGGCTAGCAAGCAAATACTCCCGCCAAGCCCTCTGCGAGCCCGGGTCCCGCATCACTGCAATCTCATTTTCTTCCAACTCGGAATCATTGGAATCAGCGGATAAGGCTCAGAAAATACGGATGTAGTCGATATTTTCGGGGCAATGCACAAACGTATTGGATGTGGGACGCAGTCTCTTCAGCCTGTCTTTCTCGCCCGACGATTTGAAATTGCATACTTCCTTTGAGGACATTGCCATAGAAAGGCCTATCCGCGCATCCCAAGCAGCCGATTCTACCATGGACGATGCCGAATCAGAAAACATATCTGTCATGCTTCGAAAGCCGCGTTGGCAGGGCTTTGGAATCGATGTAAGCGGGAAGTTGATCACTTGGAGCGGTGTTCACGTCATCCTTTGCCGGCGGATATCAACCCTTCCTCACACCTGAATTCCCCTCGCTGGATGACGATGATAAGCGATACCAAGTGGCTGCCAGCGATTTCGTTGTGGCTTGGGTTAGACCCTCTGGCGAGCTCTACACTATGGCATTTTTAAGAAATATCAAGCCCTTGGACTGAGTCTTCCGTCCAAATATTCTGTGTATGAATAGTTTAGTCTCATCTTAACGTCTCACTTTCCTCCAATTTCCATCCAGACTGTTTTGGGCATATGTACGCCTGAAGAGTCATATCTGCAAGATAAAAAGACAAGTCTCAGTACCCTGCTCTCCGGAATGCCTCATCCAGCTTCAACTCAAGAACCTGCCGCTGAGCCTGGATGCTCGTCGTGATCCGTGCGTTCTCCTCCTCACCAGCTCTCTTCTTCTCGGCGGCGTCCCCTTCATCGATGGTCTCCACCTCATCAGCCATCATATCATCAGCCTCCGAAGCCGATGTCAGAGCCATAGGAGCCATTCGCATACTTGCCATCCTCGTTGACGTGGCTGCACCCGGCAAAAATCCCGGGGCAACGTATTTCTTCGACTTTCCGGCCGAGGCGATCAATGTCGATAGGATCGCGGCGCTCATGTCCAGAACGTTGTCCGCCTTGAACGTGTCAGGGTCGTTGAGAAGTTGCAATCCAATTCCAAAGGCCACAGACAAGAGGGGTCCGGCCCCGGGAATGAACCCAAGACCGAGCTGGACCACGTGTGTGACCAGATCCAGGATAAAGGAAGAGTATTTGTACGGACGCCAGCCGACTTCAACACCGAACGTCGCGCTGATGACGCTGGCGAGATCGATCTCACGACGGAATCCCTCCTCAGCTCGATTATCGTTGGATCTCCAGTTCAAACCCGCCCATGCGACGAGGAACAGCGCGTCGGTCTTGGTCTTGGCGTTGTATACCCCGTACTCGGGATTGCGTACCTTGTGAGGGATGGACAGGTACGTCACCAGGTCTGGTACCTTGAAGAGCCACGACAGGCCCCGATCAAGACCGAGACCTGCCTCGCGAGTGCACTGGTGTGTTCGCGGCTCTCCTACGGTGTTGAAACAGTTGACCGTGTCGCGGGCCTTGAAGTCGATGACAACGTATGTGCAGTACTGCTTGTAGGCTTCGTCCGTTTGTTGGCAGACGGGGAAGTAGATTGCCCGGATCGGAATTGTAGCACTAAGAGGGCGGTCAGCTTTGGGATCATCTGGCGCATAGCCGGGTGATATGTCAATGCTTACTCAATCCATAGCCACTCTGTATCTTTGTTACGAATCTTCACGGGACGTAGGATGTACTTTCTTGGCCCGCCCTTGTCGCGGTCGCGCATTTCGTTCCAGTTCAGGCTGTTTGGGTAGCTGGTGATGGCGAGCATGCTCCCGGGGTCTGTCGTTTTGCTCTCGCCGACAAAGAACCTGTCCCATTGCACGAAGCGGGTGCCATACAGGTCCGGATACCCGCCCTGGATCTTCGACCGCGGGTGCGTCGGCGCGACGTCGCCGGCTCCGACCCAGCCGTTCCACTAAATGGAAATTCTGAGCTACTAGATACCAAAAGTTGGGGGATGAAAAGCCAGGGCCATACCTGGTATTCTATGAGGACGTGACTGTAGAACTGCTCCGCGTCGTCTGCAGACCAGCTGTTCCCGTACTTGAGGGACGACCGGACGAAGAAGCATTCGCCCTCGGGGAAGTAGGAGGCCATTGTGTTAGGTGGTTGAGTTGAGAATCGATAGTGGAGGGATTCAAAGATATTGACAGTGTAGGAGTATCAGCGGAACGAAGATTCTGGTCTTCGTGTAAGCAGCTTGAGTCAGAGACCAAGAGAAATGAAGTCGGAGGGCGAGAACCGAGAGCTTTTATGTCATTTTACGCCTTCAGCTTCGCTCTAGACTTTGGCAAAGTCTCAAGATACTCAGTCAACACTCAAGTGAGTAATACTTCGCCCTTTACATCCCCTTGCACAGCTTTCCGATGCACCTTGATTCCACAGTGATGCCATGACGGATGAATCGAGCAGACATCGATGAGCGATAGTAGAAATTCGGTGTAAATCTCGACCGCCCAAAGATCCGTCTCGTGAGACTTACAGTCGATGGACCAGCCCAAGCCTCGATGCGATGGGCAAGAAGAGTGACGATCACGGTGGGCCGCGTCGATCACAACGGGACGAGCCGCCCGAAAAGCGTCACAGCGAGGCGGGGTTCGCATAGGAACGGCTCCCATTAGGCGCGGCATGCATCTGTCGAGCTGTATGACAAGACGAACGACACGAGTATGCATCTCGGTTAGGTTGTTGTGTTGCTGGGAACCACGGCCCGGTACAGCTACCCCGAGTTCGTCCCCCTTCGTCGTAAAAGACGCAGATTTCCTTCGTCAGACCGGTCCGACGAGTGCCTGAAATGTCGTCGGCCATGTCCAAATACAGCGATACATATCATGCCTGGCTTCGGCCCATCATGCGGCCGCCACTTGAGAATACGAGAAGCCAAGATTCGCCCTGTGGTTTGCCCCTCCAAGGACGATGAAAGGTACCTGACGCCTCCATGGGGCAAGAGCAGGCGGGATTGGCGATGCAATACCTGTAGCGGAAGGAGAGATATCTTCCCTCTGACCTATGCCCAGAAGAAAAGCCTCTCATAGCAAGGATGGAAATTCTTCTTTGAAGCATGCGAAACGGCAGATGGTCCAGTGAGGTGGTCAAAGCCGGCTCGAATCACCGAATGCGAAGGGCTAGTAGCGTTGCGCCAGTCCAGCCAGCTTCATACTTCAACTGGTAATGAGACTCATCGGGAAGCTGTATCATCGAGAACGCACGGCAATGGAGTAATGCCTTATTTCGACACCTCATTCAGCCTGCGATGCATGCAAGTTTGGAAGGCCTGCGAACGGACCCCTCTCGGAAAGACCACGAGCGTGCCCCAACCTGAAAGTTCAGCGCGACTGACATCACACAGAGGCGGGCGGAGCCGACATCAGACGGCCAAGTTCAGTCGTGCATATGCCAAAGTTTGGCGACGAGACTTCGGATGGTTCGCAGATCACAAGCAACGACAAACCCCATCGGCCGACAAATGGGCAAAAGCTACAAACGTCGCATCGGTAGCTCCCGTGTAGCGAACCCTCCCCTCTGCCCGCAAATCACAAGCTTGGCGAATCCCGCACTGCTTGCTGAGACCGACGTCATGAAGCACAGAACTCTAGGGGAATTACGTGATTGATAGGTGCCCGCGATCATGAGCTTGCCTTTCAATTCGGGATGGCGAGAGAAGTTGGTTTAACATGTTTGTATTATGCTGGGCTAGCTAGCATTACCGATGCCTGGTGACCATCTCTCGAAAGACAAGAATCCTCCCACGGGCTGGTGGGCTCAAGCCTCACCAAGTCCAATATGCAAGTTACCTCCCCACAACCGACTGTATCCCCCATGATTTCCAGGCAGCAGAAGAGTTGAACCTTGACCATATTTGTGCCGAGGCTATGCCCACTGCTCCCCCGATCCTCTCAGTCGTATGTCGCGTTCCCCAAAAACCAGGCTGCGGTTCCGAGTGACGACAACCATCGGAAACCATGACTTCGTAACGTATCCGACCCTCTCAGCGAAGAAAATGAATACTTTCGAAGACGCAATGCCATGCTC